AAAGTGGGCGGCGTGAATGAAAGCGAGACAGACGAAGAGAGAGAGAGAGAGAGAGAGAGAGAGAGAGAGAATGTACAGGCCACGATCCTGAAAATCGATATCGCGGATACCGAGGTGCTTCCGTGTCGACGTTCGTAATTATATGCCGCGGAGCACGATATACCGCGTTGCACGATTCCCATTATTGCCATCACGGTAGTGTAACTTATTGTTAACGAACAGAGCACGATGCTCGAGCGTAGATAGAGCGATGGTGTTGAATGACGGGACGCGGTAGCGACCAGAGCTCAAAAGTTTAACCCTTTTGGTAAGCGCGATCGTTAGAATACGGAGGCACGCAGCTTCTCCCAACGAAAAAAAGAAGTTGAATGAAAATCGTGATTCTTATCATTTTTACTTCTTTATCCTTGTATATTTTGTTCTAATTATGATAATTCTATAACGTTTCAATCGTGAAGTGAATGATATTAATGTAGATCACTTACAATCATTTATGTGACTTAAAATAAATGCGTTTTAATATTGTATGATATAGTACAGGAAACAACATTAAAATGCAGTTAGATTACAAAAACGATATATATATATATTGATTTATGATTTAGGGGACAAGAGATCACTGGAGAATATATTAGTTAATCGAATCTGTCCAATTAATTCTCAATTAAAATTACAATTGTAGATTTTACGACTCGTTCCGTTTTATCTATGGTGAGTCGTGTTATAAGTAGAGTATAAACATCAATTATCGCATATGCTTAGAAATCATTGGCACAAGATAGTTATTATCTCGCGGCTTGCAACGCGCGTTCGCAAACCATGACAAATTTCGTAACGCCATTTAGATAATTATACATAATTACTACTCATATATACATGTTAATCATTCGTTGAAGTTTCCAACGGTACAATCACTGCAACCGGATCTCTTACTTCATTTGCACGATGTAGATTGCGATTAAATGAACGGCTCATCGCTGTGATGTTTTAGCCCACATTTAATTTCACATTAAGAAGATAATTCATATTAATTTTATATAAAAAAAAGAAAGAGAAACTTTTATAAATATTTCTAATGTATACATCATGCATATCAGAATACTTTGCTGCAAAGTAAAAAAATTAATAAGTTAATGAGCAGCATGTGATCCGCAAATTATCTTAAGAAATCGAAGCGACAGGTATTGCTTAAGTTTTGACATTCGATAACGCAACTCTAACGAAGTCATGACTTCGGCAATATCTTACAGGATATCGAAAGTGCCATGATGTATTGCAATAACGCGATACGAGCTATAGCGAAATATCATGGCGAACGAAGTTTCTCCACAAATTACTTCACGACCCAATGAATCAATCAGGAACGGTGTTTATGAAGTGAAGGCACCGCTGCTCATCAGCGCGATTATGCAAATTCTTAGCTCGTTATGGCAGATAGGAGGCCTCGATATCTTTTTTTTCCCTCGGGAAACGGCGAAGGCGCATCGCACGTCCGGAATACGTAAGCCTCGACGTACCTACGTTTCAACGACGTTGCGGCGAATAATGGCAATTTGCAACGCGGATCTTCCATGGCTACGGCGGACCGATGCGGGCAGACCTACCCGTATTATTGCCAAGAGTCGAGACGCACAGACTTGCACCTGCGCGACTCTCGGTGCGCTTTACGCGCGCGCCGCTTTTATCGAGCATTATTTATTTCCTCTCTCCCCCCTCCCCATCCTCCTCTTTTTGGAGAACATAGCAGAGATGTAACACCGCGCCGCGCCGCGCTTCTGTAACCATCGAACATATGTCGTCTCGTTTTACGGAAAACAAAATTATAATCCGTAACAGAATATCCGAGAAGTCGCGCGCTTCCTCTCGAGTACCGCGACAAGTTTGCGGTTGAAAATATTCTCGTGAAAATCTACGTCATGCTACTTTTATTGCATTTTTTTTCATTCTTGAATGTTTTTTCATGCTTACCGCATGAAAGGAGGAAATTGCCACGAGTCCAATGTTTCAAAATGCCAATCTATAAATATAAACCATTTATACAATTTCTCTATGGCGTTCGGTGGCAGCGTTTAGCTTGCAACTCAAATTATTTTTGTTTTATATTTAATTCTACGTAATTAAATAACAATTACCAATAAAATCGTTCGAGCGATTTCTGATAAATTCCCTGGCTAAATTTTGATACGTAGAATCAAGCGGAGAAAAAACTCAAAATGGAGCAAAATATACAGCTGAATATTCATTGCGAACCGCCCACTAGAATCTTAATTACCGCCTATCTAATTTAACTCGACAACTGACACATAATACATCTTTATAATGCTATATCGTCCAACGTTTTGTTAACATTAATGTTACCCCGCATATTCAACAGCGTATTTTAATATTATGTCCCTAAATGATTACTGCGAGCATGAATTTATGCGAGCATTGTGATATTACAGTATCTTGCGGTATTTTTTCGCCTAAGCTTGCGAAATATATATTATTTTCTTGGCTTATTTTTAGACAATTATTCATGACAAAACTTGTTAGTTGACTATATTTTTTTATCGTCAATCACGAATACAATGACGAATAACACAATAGGCTACATTCATAGCAGATATCTTTTACATCGTTATTGTTCTGTACAAAAATAGTCAAAACAAAGTTATAAATAATTTTCTTGAGGCTTCCACGGATACTTCCTATATGGTAATTCTTGATGCTAAATAACACTAATTCCTTTTATCGCATTAATCGGATTTATTCCACTTTTCATAAAAAGCGAATATTCTAAATATAATTTTAATATGCATATTAAAAATAAAGAACAGATTATACCGTTGAGACAGACAATAATGTTATAAATTATTTATAAGAAAATCATGCGTTTCGCGGGTTTTCTTCGTGTCCAGATCCATTCTTGGAATGCCAGCGTTTCGTGAACCTTGCTTAATATTGTATTAGGCTGCTCCTCGACCTGATGAAGTAACTGCAAGGTTCACGAAACGCTGGCATTCCGAGAATGAATCTGGACACGGAGAAAACCCGCGAAACGCATGATTTTCTTATAAATAATTTATAACATTATTGTCTGTCTCAACGGTATAATCTGTTCTTTATTTTTAATATGCATATTAAAATTATATTTAGAATATTCGCTTTTTATGAAAAGTGGAATAAATCCGATTAATGCGATAAAAGGAATTAGTGTTATTTAGCATCAAGAACTACAAGAACTTGTTTTCGTTCAGCAATCGAGCAAAAGTATTTACTTCCACTTTTTAATTGTTTTTTCTTGTATGTTAGCGCCTTCTTGCTATTTCTGTCATTCGCAGTCAGCTTGTAATCCAACGGAAATGTAAAATGTTTTCTTCTTGTTTAAGTGCGTATTAATGTACTGATCAATTTAAGATTATTTACTCAAAACGGAATTTCTATTTTATCTTGTTCATTTGACTACTAATTTTTGCACGTATGTCACGAGGAAAGAAAGCGCATGTTAAGTAACGCATTGATTAAGTAAGCCTCACGTAGTATTGCAAGCGTATGACTCTTTAATTATTATTCCGTGCAGAAAGTCGCGCGTCAATCATCCTCATAAGAGCAGCTCGGATGCCATGCTCTCATTAGATTGGAGATGCCGACGTTGAAAAAGAAATTAGATTTAATGCTCGAGCAAGTAATCATAAGAAACTCTCTTTTGTGTAAATTCTCTTTCGTGAGAACATTAAGGATAATTAATTAATTCTCTTATGTAATTAATTTAATCGAATAATAATTTATTCAACGCAGATTGATTGATACAATATGATTTCTTAAAGTGCAGATATTATCTATATAGAGCCTTGGCCATAAATATATAAAGCCCTTAATTTATTGTATTTTATTGAAAGAAGCGGTAATAAAAACTAAAGAAGAACTATCACTGAAATTGTTATAAAATACTAAAATTGTTATAAAAATATAAATATTACTTTTTAATAAATCTGTGTTTTAATTTATATTTTGTTAGATATAGAATATTAATATGTGGAAATACTTATGGCCAAGACTATAGAATTTTTGCAATATATTTATATTTTTGTTTTTTCTAGACAACCGTGTGAGAATACTATTCGAATATCGATGATATATCGATTGAAAAATATCGATTAATTACTTAAATTATTTTTTTCACACGAAATTCGTACCGTAAGGAGTTTATTATAAATTGGAGTTTATTATATCAGGGAATTCTAATATTCCGATCGCGAACTGTTTATTCTCCTCTTGTATTGGCAATCACTGCGTCGAAGAGATCAAGCACATCAGACGGAATTACATTTGCGCTAAATGAGCATTAGAATGCGGCCCTTTTCCTCGGCGCGTCACGCTCGTGAGCGACGGCCGTCGCGTCGCTGAGCTCCAAGTTCGTTCTATAAGCTTCACACTCTAGCCTGTTACTTACGAAGAAGGCAGGTGCGCCTCTAGGCGATCTCGCTTTCTTCGAGCAAACTCGCGCGAATGTTAATTGTGCGCTATTATTGGCAACGACCGGTCGTGGAATTCCGCTTCGTCAAACCCGCTTCTCGATCGATTCTCGTTCCAAGATCTCAGCATGAGGCAAGTTACTTACGTAAAGTGTACGATTATGTGATGATATTATGTACGATAAATGGAAGAATACAAAGTCGCACAGGCAGATTTTACAAAAAAAAAAAACAGGAAACAATATTTCAAGTGACAATAACCTTGAATTTTAAACAAATAAACAAACGAGATAAATTTCTTTGGCTGCATGTAGCTGTCCGGTCACAAAATCATCCGAAATGAAAATGTTTGACCCCCTGCATCGAGACCTTTTATGTTGCGCCAAGAGTCACGTGTGAGTCGAAAGTAGTAAGTTTCAAATGCCAAGATAAATTTCGAGTTGTTTATTTTGGAACGACCTACGGTTTCCTCATTTTTCTCGTGACAAATTCACACAAGCATTCTTCAATAATTACTTAATTGTTACAGTTCTAATGACTTACCTGGGACGCCGACGGATACGAGTATCCGAATTGCGCGTACGCCGACATGTCTAAAGTCTACGAGCGTTGAGTCTACGTGTAGTTCTCCGTCTTTTTCTCTCCGAATATATTGCGGAACCAAAGAGGATCAGGACACAAACGCATCTGCACGCACTACACTACCTCTCTCTCTCTCTCCCCCTTTCTCTCTCTCTCTCTTTCTCTCCCTCTCTCTCACGTTTCTACGCGTGGCAATATCGTGGCGACATACGGGAAATAAAACGCGACGAACGTTCGCCGACGAAGAGTGCCATCAGGCTGCCCTCAAGTCCTGGGCGGCCGTGGTCGGCCTCATGACGCACGTTTTCTTCTTCAGCCACGCGTCACGTCAACGGAGTGTCATCGCGCTGTTTTACGGATATATATATATATATATATATTACGCGCACTATAATCCTGAGTTCCTGCTTAGATACCTTCCAAGGTGGAGGAACGACGAGGTCAGCGTAGGCGCACGATACCGAGGACAACTCTTCTCCTTACTACGGCACGAAACGGTTCCCGATTCGCGACACGTCGCGTCATGAAAACAGCTGACACGGCACGCAGCACCGGAACATGATAACAGTATCGAGATGACGATACCGAAGAAACGGGACGGACATTCGGACAGAGAGGCGAGCGAGAAGCGTCACGACCGGTTAGGGTATAGGGAGCTCACACAGTTCGTTCGTTCGTTCGGTCCGTCCCCTGCTCTCACAGGGCACTCCAGTCTGCGACTGACTCGGCACCACTCACACCACTTCAGCGGGCTTCTCCACTCCGCTCTGTCACGGCTCCCCCTCTGGCGAGGAAAACCGAAAGCACCGCTGTCCCCCACCAAATGTCGTGGGCGGCGACACAGGTAGAACGGAGCAATCGCGAGATGGCTCGTTGGCCAACGGGCGGAGTCCACAGGCAGTCCGATCATCCGCGATTGGTCGCGAGCGCTTTGGGCGCGGGCGGTGGTATTTTTCGAACGTGCCCATCGACGTCGCGACGCCTTTCGTCCCCTCTATTCACCACCGGAGAACCACCGGCGAACGAACGATCTTGCGAGCTGCGTCGCGACGCCTCGCTACGCCACGGGACGTTGCACGGCTACGACTGAACAAGGAGAAACGAGTATGTTTACGCGGCTCTACTCTTGTCAACCCGACGGCAAAGGACTTAAATAAATCCACATTCCTCCGTCTCCCCTTTCCCATACCGCCCATGCGTCGCCCTTGCAAGGAGAGCGGATTACTTTCGCACCTATTGTCCGGTCAAGATCGCAAAGTAGTACGAAGATCGTGAAACTTTTCATGAAATGTCAAAATTATTAGACTCATTTTTAATTTCAAAATGGAGTGATCTGGTACTTAAAATAAGCCATTTTTTTCAGAAGTTTTGTTGAATAAAATAATTTATAATTATATATATTAGAGAGTGTAATAAATTTTTTTATATCAAAATGTTTTAATATTTAATAATATAAATTTTAATATTTAACAACATACTTTTCAGAAATTGGTTTTATATTATAATATCTAATATGTTTTATCAATAAAAAATTTGCAAATTCTTGTATAAAAAATAAAAAATTCAAATTTTTGTGATATTAATAGAATGTTAATAGATAAAGCACGGAAGGATATTTTATTCAATAGTATAAAAATATGAAATTGTAAAGTAATGGGTCAATTCTATGTAAGCAGAATCGTAAGACGTACGATTATTCGTAAATATCTACGATTTCTTGTAAATTTTATGGCTAGTAAGAAGCTGTCTGTAAAAATATTGTATAAAGGTATAAGCACTTAAAAAAATTCTTACAAATCTTATAGGAATATGTTACGAGCCTTACGATTCTGCTTAGAATTTAGACATAAAATAAGGCCAATATTCATAGCTCGTTCTTATTACAAGATTGTTTTAAATAATATCTTAACGCTGAATACAATTCTACAATTAATTTATCTGATATCTTAAGATTGTATTTGCGATGGTTTTAAATATATAAGAATAATAATATAAGAACTGATTATAAACACTAGCCAGCTTGTATATCTAATTCTTTTAGCGCCAATGCGTAAGCTAAAGATATTATGTTCTGGTCTATTGTCGTATCGTCAAAAATTTCATAAGAACACCGAGCAGATTAGCCGTGGGATTTACTCCGTACTGTGCTATTTGGAATATAATGAAATAGATTATTAAATCATACCAATGAGTCGAAACCATTAATTGCGGACAAAATATTTATTTATTAAATTAAAATGAGGGATTTCTGTTTACTTAGAATTTTTTTTAGCAAAAAGTAAGATCCGAGAATCAGTATCCAAAAAATTCTATAAAACTTTTTGAATTGTTAAATTGTTAACGAATATTATTAAATCAAAAGTACTTGATCAATAATTATTTTTATAATTTATTTATTCCTTATAAAAATAATTTTTCGATATAAGAATTATTGTTATTATGAATTTTATTTTGAACACATACCATGTATACACAATAGCATAACATAATCGATAACAAAAAACTTGAAGTATCAATAGAGGATTGCTTATGACAAACAAAACAGAACTAAGCTTACTTCTTAGGAAGTACGAATATCTGGAAAACAAAGATGAACGGATGAATGTCGACGTGCCGCCGGGGGACAACGAGAAAATAGTAGTTGCGATGCAACAAGATCCACTGCTGCTAATAGGATTAGCCGACCGGTTGACGAGGTCTTCGGGAGATAAACATCCTTTTGAGAATTTTATACCTGTACCTCGAGTACAGGTTCCTCGAGAAAATGGTCATTGGAACCCTTGGATGATTTATTGTTCTGCGTAAATCTGGGTGACCTGCCGATCGCGCCCTTATAACGAACTGATGGTCAATGCTATAATGTAAACGTTTGAGAGAACCATGTCCTAAAACCACTAGGATTATTATATCGTGAAAACGTATAACTGGTGCCACAATTTCCTTCAGAGTCACGTGTGATGTCGAAACCACACAATAATTCGCTTAATCCCTCTCGTTCTCTGGGAATCATCGTTCGCAAACAAGAGACTTACAAAACATCCCACATTTTCACCGCACATTCAGCACCGAATGCGGTTCTGTCCTTTCGTTTCATGCTGACATGCTGAATTCCCATGTAAATACCAGATATTATATTCACTAGACAAATATTCGTGAATGGAGCAATGATATCAGTGTGACGATGTTATGAATTTATGTGCATGAAAATTTGTTGTACAAACGTGATATAATTAGATGACTCGAATGTATGAGAAATGAGCTGTGATTCAAATTAATCAATGTTGCAGAAGCGGTCTTTCTCTCATATTAGAGTTGAAAATATATAGATCCGTTTTATAAATTCATCGAGATTTTATTTCATCTTCTACAACAAGATATTTTATTAGGGAATAAAAAGTTTCGAATTTTGTGTAGCGGGTAACGATGTCTACGGTGTTGCCGTTCGCCGTGACGGACGTCGAATAATTAAACGAGAAGGATGCGGTGGTGACAAAATGAAATGTGGCGCGGCAGCTGGCGCGCGATGTGAAAATATCACTCGGATTGTTGAATGTCCATTTGTGTTTCGCCGTTGGACGTAACATTTATGATTACGGGGGTAAAACAGTACTCGCGGTTCGTCAGTTTTTATTGTTACACTCGCCCCGTTGTACTGTCAAGCGCGGTTCACGGACAAAAGTAATAATATCACCGGGACGAAAAGCTGCAAAATTTTACATCGTGCAATTATTTTACGGATTACAATCGCACTGTCATTGCTACGTTATTTTCAATGTTTGTACTAATATTAAAAAACGAGAAAAAGACCTTGATGGATTCGACATCGATGTGCTCGCAAAAGAAATCGGATTTTTGTGTCCACAAATCACGGCCCTAACTGGACAACGACAGTTGTAAATCTTGGTTGGAATATCTGCGATCAAACTGTGCAGGGTCGTTCGGTGTTTACAGTCGTCAAGTTTTTCGAGTCTGATAAGGCGAAGGTTTCTACGAGAAGAGAGAAGGAACTGTCGGGTCCTATCTCACCGGTCAGTGTGTCCCATTACTTGTTCGCAGGTCGAGTAAAAGTTAAACGGCCATGTCCACTCTACCCGTCTCCGGCGATAAGGATGCTTAATAAGGCACCAAACTACCCCGTCCACTTTTCTTCCTACTTCCTCGCTCTTGCTCCTGAGAAAGGTCTCTCCTTTATCTCAACATCGGCCTAGTTAGGCAAGCTCCATATTTTTCTCAAGTTTTTTTAGTTTTACTAATCTTCCAAAACAAATCCTCTGTATGAAAAAAAAAAATGAGAAAACTTATTGTTTTATTTGTATTTTATGCTTAACGTTTTTTTTTTAATTCACGCTTCTTTTTCAAATCCATTCATCGAGCTTATTTCATTATACTGTTGTAATACCTTGGTTAGCTTTTATGACTACTTTACGAGATTTTCTCGCTATAGGTTCTCCTGCTCTCCAAAAGCAAATTATTAGTTCTCTACCGCGGCGGAATCATAAAAGCGCAGGTCTAATTCGAATGCCATAGAATGACGCGATTTACACCGTGGAATAAAACAAAAGATTGTTACGTAGCTTTCTGAGGCGAGCACGCTAAGGTAGGAAGAAGGAAGCTAATAAGGGGAGGTCCAGACTGCCCCGGCGCCTTCGGGGTACCTTCGAGGGGCACCGCAGTTTTATTGGTCGGAACGTCCTTGTTCCTCCGGCTGTTTTCTTCTTCTATACTACTTCTGCGCCAACTTCGTCTTCCTCTTCGGCACACGGTATGGCCGACCAGAATGTTGCCGTAAAAAAGGCCGATCCCTTCCCCAGACCCCTTGTCCGTCCTTCTCCTCACCTTCTTCGTTCCCGTTCTCCCCACGTAGAACGACGAACGAACGACCAACGAAATGTCAACCGTAAACCTCGCGAGGCAACACTAATTAACCCGACCGAAATAAACTGCGGCGCTCCTCCATTTCCCTCTCACTCGCTCGTCGAGCCTCTTCTTTTGTTCGCGCGGACAGATTCTACAGCCCTCGGCGAAGTCTTAAGAAATATCTTGAAGCAGTCTTAAAATTCCTAATCGATCTATTACAGAAAAGACGACAATCTACGACAAATCCAACTAATTAAAAAATTCAGCTTTTGTGTACTACTCTCTAAACTTCTTCGAGTGAAATCTCACTTCAAAAGAGTTAAAATACCGCCACTACTAAAAAAAAGTGAAAAATTTGCACTCTTGAATAAGAGCAGAACGTTGAATAGTAGCAGATTTTCACTCTTTTCTTAGAGTGAGATTTCACACTTTTAGAATGAGAATACTTTCCTTTGGAATGAATGAAGGTGCACATTTTTCACTCT